TATTTTGCATTTTGTAAACACAAAGAAATGAAAGAAAAATGTCTAAGACGAAATGTCAAAAAACCTAGGATTATGTTAGATTTTTAACCTTCAAACAACAACACAGCTATAGGTAAACTGATGCTTGGCGGTAGATATAAGTAGGAGGGTTGGTAACATATTTGACGGACTCCGGATAACTTTCCACAAAACGACTTCCATAGTATTTTATATGTAGAGCCAAATTAAACTAACAGCGCCGCCAACGTGAGCTCACTTGTGGGAAGACATCACAACAAACGCCCACAGACACTCGTGCATTAACGTTAAAAAAAGTTGTCCCCTGTAATTAGGACGTGTTGAGTGAAGCCTGTAAGTATGATTCCCGAATATGACGCGGTGGCGTAAGTATTGAGTGAATAGCGGGAAACTTAAATGAGTCAATAAATTGAGTATTAGTATCTTAAAAGTTAAATGTGTTCACACACTAAGTGTTATACGAGACATATATTTTATTTTATTATATTGATTTTTATGATATTGGCGTCATAAGCGATCTTAGACCACCGCTGTCATTGGCCACTAATAGAAGTATTATGTTCTATGCTCGTCGGCTCTATTTGGCTTCCCAACAGATTATAATATATCTAAAGATCGGTCGTCGTCATCTAAGGTGTGCGTGAACATTTTCGTTAAAGGAAAGTACGCAAAGGAGTTAAAATTTTCATAAATTGGTATTTTGATATTAGGATATTGAAAACTCCCTCAACAATTGAATGTTAAGATAAAGTATGAAGAATATGTAGGGTAAATAATTAACTTCAACTGACAGAGCCGGTACAATTTCATGCTGTCGGGCATTTTATCCTAATTCTTTAAAAATTCCTTAAATGGCCACTTACTAGTTGGTTAATTGTTAGTTCGTGTTAAAATTTACTGATATAAAAATAGTTAATTTCAAAAAGATCATAAATTCTATTCCTGAATTTGATAAACACATTATTTATTTATTAATTTTATGCCTACTTTAAGTACGGAATTCTAGTATAATGTAATTAAGCGATAGGTTTTTCGGAAACCGCTCGGAATTTTGGGAATGTGATGTATTTGGAATTAAGGGCTATAGATAATAATTAACTTTTCAAGTTTGTCTAGATAGATGTCATTCCTAAGAAAACTATATTATCTATGCTAACATCTGAGCAAAGCTCGGTCACCCAACGATCAGGAACAATACTTATAATATGCCCAATAAAGTAAAGTGAAAAATGATACTTGAGGGGCTTAGCGCTCGTTTTAAATATATACATATCCTACGCGAACAACCCGTGTTCGATGTTTGCCAGCATCAATGATATTGCAGTAGTAGTTTTCAACGCTGACTCAACATGCTTCGAAGGTTACAGAACAAAATTTCGAAGACCTGTGAAGTCCACCAGCACCAACACACATGGGGCAGCACGGTGAAAATTTCCTTGCCCTTAACCATTTCAGAGATGTGAGAAGGTCTGTGCCCAAGAGTGGGACTTATATAAGCTGTAATTTTACATTTGCTCAATATCATCTTGTCTCTTAGGACATGTAAGAGCTGACTATGGGAAAGGCCAGAAAAACTTCTTGGCGTCCAGTAGATGTACTGGACACCAAGCAGTTAGCATTATCTAAATATAATAATTCCAGCTCGGTGACGGGAAACAACGTTTTTAAACTTTTTGATTGATAAGATCGCGTATCGGAACCATGTTGGATAAGTAAACGACAAATTTATACATTTATATATACATATTTATTATAATACTAGCTTGCCAGGCAGACATTATTCTGCCCTTTTCGAGGACTCTTTGTCATGATCTATTAAAAATCCCTAAATTTGCAAAAAAAAAATTGTGGGTCACTGATGGGCAAAAAACTATCCTGTCTCTCAAGTTGGAAAACAAACTGCACACGGTGTGTAAATTTGATCAAAATCGGTTAAGTAGTTTAGGAGTCCATCGCGGACAAACAACGTGTCACCTAATTTATATATATTAAGATTAAGATATGCATAGGTATCTAATAAATATGTATGTGCATATATTATATGATTGAAATAAATTAATAAATAAAAAATAAAATGAATATATAAATGTCTACGAAATTACCCTATGAAGGGAATACTAAATTATTGGAGTTGAGTAATTGGTATTACTAGCTTGTACTTGTTTAATGTAACAATATATGTACACCGAATTTGTTTTCCGCGTCATCTCCTGCCTTGATACCGACATTCGGGACTCGAGCCCCCTTTATTTGGGCGCCCATCGCCCTTGTATTTTGGTTCTCCAATTAGTAGCGCTACCGTAATTGTACCGTAAAGCGGAGTTAATGAATTCCTGTACTTAGCCGTTGTTTGATGTAATAATACATTTGTTTTTAACTAGTAGCGCCCCGCGGCTGTGTTCGCGTAACGACAAACGTTGAGAACATTAATTTCATTCGTCCAACCCCTGCATGTTTTTAGTTTTAGGTAAGTAACTCTCGTGAAGTTAGTGATGTTTTTTCGAAAGAAAAAAGGAAGAGCCGTGAATTTTGAAAATTCACCTACAAAACCCCAACTTTTAGAAATATGTTTTTTTTAATATATAGAATAAGGATGACAAATGAGCACACAGTCCACCTGATGGTAAGTGGATGCTGTAGCCCATAGACTCTATATTTAACCTTGATGAAGAATCAAAATGCAGGTTCGTGGTTACCACTACGGAGTGAGGACTAAGATGGAATGCTTCGATTCCAGTAAAGTGGGTCCCCGGTTCTCTTACGTTACACCCATCATACGAAACACGGCAGCATTAAGCTGCTATTTTACGCAGGTATTCTGTGAGAGCGTGGTCCTTACCCGGTCGAGCCGACCCATTCGTGCTACAACCCTACAACTGTAGCTGTGCCTAAAAAGAGTCTCCGGTTCTCTTCACATACTATACGAAACGCAGCAATATTATGATGCTATTTACGCTGGTATACTGTGAGCGTAATTCTTCCCCGGTAAAGTTGACCCATTCGTGCTGCAGACAATATATCTGCTGCGTGGTTCAAAGACTCGTTTTTGACACAATTATCAACGGAAACCTCTTTACAATCAGTTGATGTCGGATCCGACAGAAACCGTGCTACTTATTATTAATGATTACTGAGGAAATAAAATGGATGTATCCAAACTTCTGTAAGTCTTTGAAACACGACTGTGGGAGAAAGCGCCATAGCAAATGGCACGCTAACATTACAGAACGGAATAAATATATCTGATGAAATTAATGAAATGAAATGAATGAATGATGAAAAGTAGGGATAAAGAAAAGAGAAGAAACATCTCGGCACTAGTGGAAGTATTAATAGATAGTTTTATCGAAGCTCAGTGATGCATTAGTTTACTATTAGATAAGAATATAAAATTTGAACATAAAAGAGTTGTATTAACAAAAATTTTTATACATATAAAAATATTCCACCTGATGGTAAATGGATGCTGTGACCCATAGACATCGAGGTCTATCTTCAATTTAAAAACAAAATGCAGATGCGTTATCACCCTTGAGGGCTAAGATGGAAGTCTCAGTTCAGTAATAAGAGTCTCCATTTCTCTACATTCACTATTAACACAACAGTAGGTATATTAAGCTACTATTGTATAATGATATATATTTTGTGAAAGGGTGGTCCTGGCCCGGTAGAGCCGTCTTATTTATGCTACAACCATAATGTAGTTACAGCGTAGCTCTAACACGTCTATATTTGCTTCAATACTGTTAAGGTATTATTTATGAAAATAAATAAAGTGACCACCACATTATTTGAAGACAAAGTGACACACAATACAAATATATACTATGTTATTTATATCTATTCGACATCTTAGAATCTAAAGTAGTCAATAGTTGATGATACAATACACAACGAAAAGTTCTTTATGAATTTAGTTTTAAAATAATCTTTAGGAATTTTTTTTACTTAACCACTGGATCAAGGATTGACGGACATAAGTTTCCACAATTATGACGGAAACCAGTGACGGGATACAAAGGTTAGCGGTAGAAGGATGTCCGATTGACAAGATCAGCGCGAACAAGTTGACACGCGAATGAGGTCTGTGACAATTTTGGTTTGACGTTCGACTCTATTAATACATTCGAGATAACCTCCAGATAGAAAACCAATGTTCGATAAATATTATAAATACGAAGTACCTACCTGTAAACCCGTTACCTTCTCATTGGGACCGACATCCGATAAAACAAACCGTAATGTGTCATTCTAATTTTTTATGTTTATTTAAAAACTAGCGAACAGGCTCGGCTTCGCCTGAGTGGGGTCTGTATAAGTGTGCTTAAATCACATCTAGCATTGCCCTCTATCTGTTCGTGAAAATTTTAAAAATGCAAAACAGACAGATAAAAAATTTAAAAATAGTTACTCGATGTCTTAATGACACGCAAATAACCCCTTAAGTAAAGTAAAGCTACAGCTTATATACGTCCCACTGCTGGGCACAAGCCTCCCCTCATTTTTGAGAGGGTTTTAGGGCAAGGAAGTGTCCGCAGCGCTGTCCCAATGCGTGTTGGCGAACTCCACATGTCTTCGAAATATATTTTTTTCTTATTCCTCAAACATGCAGGTTTCCTCACGATGTTTTCCTTCACCGCCGAGCACGTGGTAAATCAACACTTAAAATTGCAATTAACAATTTCATTGGTGCCGGTGGGGATCGAACCCGGGTTACTCGCGTTCTGTTATATTTACAGCGAGCGTTAATCATCTGAACTACACTCTTAGCTCAAAATAAAAGGCAATTATTTTAATATTACAAGTTTATTTATCGAATACATATCTTCAATTTTATTTATAGAATACATATAATAATTATTGTCCGTAGATAAGTGACAACACGTGGCACGTGGTAATGTTACGATCAGGTGCGATTCTTATTAACTTCACTTACAAAAAAATATAAATTATGACACACAACAGTGACATTCTGTTAGAATATGACATTAAACTTCATAATAACAGAATTTATAATATCTAAGTACCAAAACAGTGCCTCAAATATGGCTTCTAATAGAATTGAAAACGCACACATAGAAGAGCTTAATAAATTGTTGCTTAATTCTGGTGTTACATGCGTACGATCTACATTAGAGTCGGAAGAGTCGTCGTTGTTGACTGAAGAGACTGAGAAGGATGGTAATTTGAGAAAATATTTACTTTTTCGTTTATATTAATTATAAGTAATATGTTAAAAATAAAGATAGATCTGGAAAGCTTTTTTATAGAATAAGAGTAACAAACTAGCTCTCAGTCCACCTGATGGTAAGTGGATGCTGTGACCCGTAGACATTTACATTTATCCTATAAGAATCAAAATGCAGATGCGTTGCCCTGAGGACTAAGATCCTCGTTTCCAGTAAAAAGTGTCCAGCTCTCTACACTCATCATACGAAACACAGCAGCATCAAGCTGCTATTTTACGCTGGTATTCTGTGAGAGCGTGGTCCTCCCCCGGTCGAGCCGACCAAAACGTGCTACAACTATAATACTAACATAACTGAAGCATGGCTCTACCACGCAAAAAAGATGATGTAGATGTAGTATGTGATCGTCATTAATAAAAATATTTGCCCTTGCGTCAATATTCGGGAAGAAAACGAAGGAATACTTTCGTTTAGACAATTTTTTTTAGAATAACGATTTTTTATAGAATCACTTAACTAATGATAAGTGCATGCTATGGCCCATAGATATCTAGGTACATCTATCCTCGATTAGAATGGAATGCTTCGTTTTCAGTAAAGTCTCCGGTTCAATACACTCACAATACGAAACAGTAGCATTATCTAAGTCATCATATTAGCTTTTTCACACTGGTGTATTCTAGGAGATTGTCGAGCCACCGACTTATTTGTACGACAACCATGATGTAGCTGCCGCGTGGCTCTACCAGTGGTGCTTGAATATCCTCATAGTTATGTGTAAATATGCGATCAAATTATGAATTATTTTTATTTCATGTTAAGTGCAAATTAAAGAAGAAGAGGAAGTGCTAGTAGAAGTTGAAATAGAAGAAGAAACAACACATATTACAGAAGAAACTGAAGAAGAGATGCCAGAAATATTTCCAACGCCATCGTTAAGAAAAGTTTTGCCCGCAAAAATTAGGGACATCAAAAGGCAGAACCAAATACACGTACTACCTGAAGAGTTTAAAAAGAATATAGACGCACAAAGAATTCCAAAAATTGCATCAACACCCGCGCAAAAATACATCGATGAATTAGCCGAATTAACAGGCTGCAGCTGTTACAAAATTAGTTTGTCTGAATTCTGGTTTTTGGATACATTGGCCAATCTCTTGAGGAGAGCACAGGAAGACCAGATGGACAAACGTATGAGAAATAAGATTACTTGCATATTATACCATCGCATCGACGAATACAAACACGACTGAAATGGCGATTCGATATTTAGGACGCCATCTACCGCTGAGTTTCACAAAACTGTTGTTAGTTACTGATTTCTGTTAGCAGTACAACCTATCAAAACACCACGGCTGAACATAGGTCATAGGGCTTTCCCTTAGATGGCCGCCTAGGCGGCTTTTTGCTACAGTTGATACGCTCGGTAGATGTTGGCAACCGCAGTTTTTTAAGTTGTTTTTAGGAAGACGATGCTGCCCATTTTCTGATTCGTTTCTATCTGTCGCCTCTTACGACACCGACGGAGTGATGATATAGACTTTATTTTCAATTTTTGAATCAACGCCATCTAGTTTTAACTCCAGATTTAAGCCTTTTCGGGTGTAATTATCAATCCTCTTGTATATATTAGTGTATTAGTAGCTACATGTTTATTTTTTCTAACTTCATCCTTTCTTAGTACTTAGTACTGACGTTCACCAAGTGGTGGCGGCATAAGAGAAAAATAATTATTCACACCTTATTGACATGGGTGCTGTAGTAAACTACTTAGGAAAGTGCTTAGGAAACTTGTTGTTTCCGATAGATGGCGGTATAACAATTTTGTATTTGATACAAATGTAAAATACATAGACTGATGACTTGAAAAAGAGGCAAGGTATCTAGTTCTGGGATTGCGTTTATAATAGTGTATTTTATTTATCTCAGTATTTTTCTTCATCATTGAATTTCTACTGCATTTTTATTAATATTATTAAAACGATTAACGAACTAACTAATAGGCACACCTCACGACAAGTGACCCATAGATACCTGCAACGAACTAAGAAGGTTATGGGTGTCGGATGGGTATGGGTCACTAAAAGGAAGTAGGTAGCCTAGGTAGGTAGGCAAATCCTGTAATTATACTGATTGTTCAATACCTTAAAACCGGAACCCTTCTATTTGGTGACAAGGCATGAAGTGTCGATTTCTGGTCTGAAGGATAGAGACAGCAAGTTATAATTACAGACGATGGGTCATTCCATCATTGTCCTGAGGGATGATAACGCATCAGTCCTCTTGTTTGAAGTTGTTCGTAGATGTTCATGGACTGCAGACCTTTTACATCAGGTGGACTGTAAGTTCTATTGTCGCTTCAATAAAAAAAAAAAACATTGGTTCCATGCATTTAGTTGCAACTCGTTCTAAATGCGTTTAAAACTATAGCAGCGGCGAAAACGTCACGTAATGTAGTATTCTTATGAAGGGATTTTGTTCCAGCAACACAAGCCATTTTAATTCTATGGTTTTGCGAATGGATGAAGGAGATGCAGCATTTTGACGCAGCTGATCGACAACGGATGCTGAGAAGGTTTAAGGTAAAGTAATTGTAAAGTCACAGCGAATGCACTTCACTCGTTTCTGAGGGTTTTTGGGCGAGGAACGGTTTTCCCTGCTGCCCTAGTGCGTTATGGCGGACTAGATATCTTCGAATATTTTTTTGAATTCCTCTGATAGTTTGAATTAGTCGGAGTACTTCGCACGATGTTTTCCTTTACTGCCTTTAACAATTTTATTGGTGCCGTTAGCGTTAGGGATCGAAACGGGTTGCTCGCGTGCTGATATTTACCTACGGCGAGCACTTAGCCCCCGAGTTACCGAGGCTTTAGGTTTATGGTAGGATACATGGAAACTACCCTGTGTTTAAGATTTCACCACTAACTTTTTTTTTTGAAAACTGAATTGACAAACATACTTATAGTACATCCACTTGATGGTAATTAGCCACTACAGCCCATGGACATCTAATAACTTAATCCAATAACTTCTTTTCTCCTAAGTAACTTAGTTGCGGATGTACAATAGCCAGTTACCACCGGAAGCACTGTTAATTCTTGAAAATCTAATATAAATTTTTAACTGTGATGTAAAAAATAAACAAGGACCATTTTGTGGCAAGTGGCAGGGTGACAAACGAGCACACAGTCCACGTGATGGTAAGTGATATGTCCATACACATCTACATCTATTCTCGATGGAGAATCAAAAAAGGCAGATGCGTGTCCACCCCTGAGGACTAAGATAGAATATCTCGTTTCCAGTAAAAAGGATCTCCGTTTTTCTACACTCACTCTACGAAATACAGCAGCATTGATCCGCTATTTTACGCTGGTATTCTGTAAGAGAGTGGTCCTACCGCCAGTCAAGCCGACCCATTCGGGTTACAGCAATAGATATAGCTGTAGTGGCGATTTAAAGAGATGTTCTTAGGTTGGATTCAACAATTATTGTTAGTACCATCCAAACCATCTTGACGTTACTCCACTGTTCGACTTTCCAGTTTTCTTTCTCGCTCGGCTATTTTGTATAATTTGCATTTTGTCTGGTCGGATACGACCAGAAAGCCTGAAAAAGCATTTTTGAAAGACCGGCAACGCAGCTGCAATTCCGTAATAGATTTGCGTGGTTTCATGGGCGGTGGTAGTCGCTTATCATCAGTTATGTAAAATGCTCGTTTGCTTCTTAAAAAAAAAAAATGCAAACTTTGGATCATATTTTGCAAGTCCCTGTTCTCCAACAGATTTAGCTACTAAACTAAAAATATACAATTTATACCACCATATTTATGTTTCATACCTAAGTCTTGTTTTAGGATAACATGCTCTCAGCTGCCCGATACGTGGCTAAAGAGAACAAACTTCCAACACCCGTGGACGTCGGAGTAACGTACAAAAGTGAGGATGTGGACGACGTCAGCCGTCCACCGCCGCTGCTCATGGAGTCCAAGCAAATTGTGACCTTCGAGGGGACAGGCTTCGAGTGTTCGCTGCATGATCTTACAAAGATGATTCATTATATTTATGATTTGTGAGTGCGTGCCACATTGAGTATTTTTATGCCGTCGTCATACGGCGTAGAATCTACCACCCATTATATTTTTTGGCAGTCGCAAAAGGCGACTATGAGATATGCCATAAAGATCCAATAGGATCTTTATGGTCTTGACCGTTACAAAGATTTGGTTTAAGATATGCTTAAAATACGAAGGTAAAACGTTTTGTACTGTGACCGTGAATCCAAAGTGGATTGCATGAAGATTAAGAGAAGTGGGACTTCACCACCGTAGACAAACGTAGTCAAAGGCAGAATTGATTTGTCATTGTCACTTATGAGTAAAGAAAAAGTAAAGTTACAGCCTATCTACGTCCCACTGCTGGGCACAGGCCTCTGCTCATTTCTGAGAGGGTTTTAGGGCAAGCACTTGTCCGCCGCGCTGCCCCAATGGCGAACTTCACATGTATTCGAAATATTTTTTTTTCTTATTTCTCTAACATGCAGGTTTCCTCAAGATGTTTTCCTTCACCGCCGAGCACGTGGTAAATCAGCACTTAAAATTGCAATTAACAATTTCATTGGTGCCGGCGGGGATCGAACCCGGTTTGCTCGCGTACTGTGAAATTTACAGCGAGCGCTAACCACCTGAGCTACCACGGCTCTCACTAGCTACACTTAAGAGTACGAAGTTGCAATGCTTCATGCCTTCTTAAATCTAAATCTGGACAAACATTGAGTGAGACAGCTGATGAGGCAGAGCGTTAGCAGACCACAATGTGTGAACCCAATGGTAGTACGCTTGAACGAATTAACCACCGTTCAAGGTAGTACGATATGATCCGCCTGGGATAAACGATCTTTGTCTCTCTGGACTATCTGGACCCCATGATGTTATATGACGATATTGAATAGGTAACCATTAATTTTGTTTTGCATTAAATTCATCGCACAGTTTTAGAATCAGTTGGCGGATTTTACATGGCGATCGTAATACTTATTTCTAGACAACTTCAAAAAATGGAAAAGTTCTAAGTTCTATATTTTTTGTATGTGTGTTACGCGATATCTTCGCCAATTGTAAAAAGGTTTAATTGATTTTTTATTAAATAGATTTTATAAAAAAATCATTAAAATCTTATCTCCAAGGAGTTCCCATATTTTGAAGAAAAAATTTCACTCCTAATTGTGGAAAACTATGGGATAAAGTTTTTCTAACTAGCTACCTTTGTATTTAGACATTCTAATGGTTACTTTGAGGTTGTTGATATCCTTAGTCCATTCATAACGTCAAAAAATTATACTTCTAAGTATTAAAAAACTTACTTCAAGATACAAAAGAAAAATACAAATATTTTTATTTAATTTAAAGGTTATGTTTTTAAGCTTCTCGAGATAATTAAGCAAGATTGACAAGGAATTGAAAATGAGTGGTCGAATCAGGTACGCAGCTAACGATTGAACTCTGATTGGTTACGAAAAATTCCAGAATTCCGACCCTCGCTCATGTCGACGACGACGGGTTAATTCCGAGTAGAAGTACCCACTTACTACCAAATGAACTTCCATTTAACTCTTATCACATAGATATTATAGGTTCAGCACAGATTACCAGTACGACTTAATACGTTCGGTGTTCACGTCCACACCGGAGTACCAGCTCATCGACACCCCCCATCAGATACGACACCCAAAGCGTCTTTATACACAGCTAAAAGTGAAACCGAAAGATGTGTCGAAGAAGCAGCAGAAAACTTCTAGAGGAAAGAATAAGGAAGTCGAGACGAAAGAATATTTACATTTACTTCAGGTAAAGCTAAAAAGATTTAAAATGAGTCATAGCATATGGCTTAGTTGTTAGTATCTGACTAATACACCAAGGGTCGTTAGTTTGAATCTATCAGTCTCGCGTATACCTTATTTTAATAATATTAAGGTGATAAACAAGCAAACCGCCGACCGGATAGTAAGTGTCTACTGTCATCATCATCATTACAGCCCTTCACAAGTCCACTGTTGAACAGAGGTTTCTCCTAAGGAGTGCCAAAAATAACGGTCCTGAGCCACTTGGATTAACCGACTTCTTCCATGGCTTGCCAGGTCGTCACTTAATCTACTAGAGATCACCCTACACTTCGCCTACCGGTACGAGGCTGCCACTAGAGAACCTTTTTTCCCGATCGGTTGTCGTTTCTTCAAGCTACAGGGCCGGCCCTTTGGCTACATTGGGCTATGTCGGTCACTCTGGTTCTACTGTGGATATCTTCATTTCTAAGTCTATTACGCAGAGAAACCCCAAGCATAGCCGTCTCCAAAGCTCGCTGAGCGTCCTTGAACGTTGCAGCTGAAGGGACTGTAGCACCGCCCAAATTTTGACGGAAATGTGTGAATTTCTCATAGTCCACATACGCCAGGCAAAGTGGCAGATTGTACTCTTCGGTCTTTTGTACTATTTGCCGAAGGGTATGTACGTGGTCTATGGTACTAAAGCCTTTTTGGAAACCGGCTTGTTCGGGAGGCTGGAAGTGATAGTCTCTCTCGAAAACAGCACGTAGACGCAGCTTGGAAGGGAAATCGGTCTGTAGTTTTTCAAAAGAGTGTTGTCACCTTTCTTGAAAAACAAGACCACCGCAACTCTGCTCCGCGCCCCCGTAATAGTGCCACTATGAAGGACGGAATTAAAGAGCTTCTGAAGGACTTCAAGTATCGGTTTTCCAGCCGCTTTCAAAAGCTCCGCAATTCGTAATTCTTTACTCGCCCGGAGACTTGCCGTTTTTAAGGTGCTGGAGAGCCATTCTAATCTCGCTCAGACTGACGTCCGGGATATCGTCGGATTAGTGTCAGATAAGACTTGTTCTTAGATCGTTACTCACACTTGCGTGTGACTATCAATCTAACTCAAAATCACAGGTGTCCCGAAAACGATGCTGCCACACTCGATCTTCAACTTCGACAGTTGGCTCTTTCTGGCAGACAGATCTCAAAGACTTTGGAGTCCTAGTTCCGTTCAATCGCTTCTTCAATACGAGGTGTTTTGAAGTTGCGTAAGTCCCGCCGCATGTATTTAGAGATCTGTCTGTTCAGTTGCCTGTATGCTGTCAAATCTGCTGAAGACTGTAGCTTCATTTCCCGTCTAACAGCTATGAGCTTGAAGTGTCTGCTGTAAGAAGAATCGATATGATAACTCTTGAGCTTACTGGTAGGTAAAAAAACCACGGAGAAGGTCGAAAATCGTTCAGAAAAGGTTCTAAGCTCACAGTAACTTTCCAGTTAACAACTATATATCATTTTCACCTTTGGTCGTGCCTACTGAGTTGCACGACCAAAGGTGATAATGATATATAGTTGTTAACTGGAAAGTTGTTGTTGTTGTAACTTGAAAGTTGAGTTGAGAGCCGTGGTAGCTCAGTGGTTAACGCTCGCTGTAAATATAACAGAACGCGAGTAACCCGGGTTCGATCCCCGCCGGCACCAATGAAATTGTTAATTGCAATTTTAATTGCTGATTTACCACGTGCTCGGCGGTGAAGGAAAAACATCGTGAGGAAACCTGCATGTCTGAGGAAGAAGAAAAAAAAATATTTCGAAGACATGTGAAGTTCGTCAACACGCATATGGGCAGCGCGGCGGACACTTCCTTGCCCTAAACCCTCTCAGAAATGAGGGGAGGTCTGAGCCCAGCAGTGGGACGTATATAGGCTGTAACGTTACTGAGTTGCAGGATATTTGTGATCTAAAATCGGCCAGACCATTAATTTTCAATACACAACCAAAAACAAGTCAACAAATTTAAGTTATATTTACCTATATTATTAAAAATAATTCGGCAATATACCGAATTATTTTTAATAAATATCTTAACAAAACAAAGATTGCGGTGAATGTTACTGGTCTGGCAATCCGCTCCTGAATCTAATTCTTCCTAACATAGAACAAACGTGTGAACAATTTTTTATTTCTTTTTGCTTTTGATCACTGTTTTCATTCTTTCAGCTACAAAGCGACCTTGAACGTGAGATAGAAGAACAGGAAGAGAAGGAAAGAGAAGAATGGAACAGACGTAACCACGTGCTTCCCTTAGCCTTCGCTGTTAAAGAGGAATTCTTCGATAAATACTGGCCGCCGCCAACATCGGAAACTGTTCCTGAATCAGAACCCGAGGCGAGGGGCAAAGGAAAAACTAAAAAGAAATAACTAAATACATAACTCGTTGCTAGGAAACTGATCTACCTACCGATTTGAATAAAATTTTATATTTAGAACTTGTTTTACTTTCAAACTTTATTTGTGTCATCCCTGAGAAATTACATTTTTTGAGAAGTTTGAACGGGAACACCCGTTTCATTGTTTAAATAATGATTTGAAGATTTAATCACGTAATAGTGCTGCGATTTTGTGTGTTTAATGTCAGCGCATGTGTATTAAGGTGGGTGGACCATGGAAGGCCATGCTCCTTCGAAAGCCGACTATTAAAATGTCGTAGTTATTGCCATGTGATGACAAATTACTTCTATTTACACAAACACCCATCGAACTGAAAATCACGGTCGCGGCGGCGAATCGGTCGCGTTACTATTTTGGCAGTACGGTCCCCCGCTTCATTGATTTCGGGAATCGACGACGTTAAAATAAGGTGGGTGTACCATGGAAGGCCACTCTAACAAATAAACAGTTATTATTCGTTTATTTACTGGATAAATGAAACTAACAAATATTTAAGTAATACTTTGTTTTATTACGTAACATATAAATCACTTTTTTAAATTGCAGATTTAATCAATATTGATTGAACCGTATGTACGGTTTATTTGTTAGAGTGGCCTTCCATGGTACAACCACCTTATTACAATTTAGTACAATGGTACAATAATTGTTTTGATGGTATACGAATCTCAAGACTTATCTGGCTGGAGACGCTAGACATAGTTCTTAAACTGTACGCTGGCATACTCCTAAATATTTCGTTATACGCCGTATTAGCGTATTGTGAAGAATTTTGTGAATAAAATACACATCAGACTAGGCTGAACTTGTAATAATTTGGAAAGACTGTACCATGTCATGAAATAAATTTAGAAAAAAATTACGTCGAGAAGCTCTCAGGTATCATCAGTTAGTAGGGAACACTGAAGGTGTTTAGTAAATCATAAATTAGGTTAGTTAACAGTATGCCACTTTTTCCTCCACCAAGGCGGTGCAATTTTGTAATGGGGTGAAATATTTGACTGATTTCGTAGATAATTTGTTCGAAAAATGTAAAGGTGGTGTATCTTTTTGTGCTATTAGTTATATTTTATATTAAAAATTAAAGATCAAACTACTGACTATGGAGTGTAAAGGTACGGAGTACAGACTGTGTATTAAAAAGTGTCCATAGAAAACCGTTAAATAAAGGTGGCACTACGGGCTAAATTTTAAAGAATGCACCGAGAATATTAGTGGGATAGACGACTTTTTCGAGGTTATATTTACTAAATAATATTATTTTAGATTTCAGAGCTACTGAGTAGTTTAGCAGCACACTTCAAACCATCGAAACTTCTAAGTTCATTTCATCCCAGTAGCTACTCCAGCGTGGTTGTGGAGAGTTTTTGAACTGTTATTTACTGCTTACAGATGGACACTTTTTCAACTATTCTACTATGGGACTTGGTACTCCTTACTTCTACATTCCGTACTGCTGACGCATTGTTTTGTGTATTAATATGATACTCTAGAAACTGATAAACTTTTATATTGTTTAACAAAAAACTTCACATGTGTCAACTGGCGACATCTGTTGAGCAGATATGACCTCATTGAAATACTTTTTACGAGATATTAAAACAAAAACCTTTTCAATATAACTTTATGAGCGTACGAATAAATTAAATCATTGTTTCCTGCAGTCAAATAAATATCTCCTTTTATAAGAACAAATATGCAATTTAAGGCGCTACTCCTAGCGAAGGACCTTAAGTGTTCAGTCCTATACAATACACGCGCTCTCGCTACAATATATCGCGTAATAATACGCCCGAAGTTTTGGAATTATTTCAATTAAAAAAGAAAATCGAACTTAAGAAATTAAATAAAACGTGGATAAAATATATTTTTAAATTTGTTAAGTTGATATATCCATTAGTGTAATCCTCAAATGATTAGAGCGTTTCCTCTAGCAACAGATGCATGTAATCAGTAAGTTCATTTTTTAAAAGTAGATTTTATATGTATTTATAACACATAAAAACAAATTAGAACTTGAAATGTGATGATAGGATATCTAACATTAATAACGTGCTTTTGTATGTAGCTTATTTTTCATAACTAATGAGATAATAGTCTCTGAAAAACGCACTTTTGCAAGATTTTGGTTGGGGTACCGCCTTAAGGCGCTACTCCTTGCAAAAAACCATGAGCGTTCAGTCCTATACTATTCTACGCGCTCTCGCTACAATATATCGCGTAAGAAATACGACCAAATTTTAAAATATTTTCATTATAAAATCGAATTTTAGTACTTTGAAAAAATTAAAAAGTGCAAAATGTTCATTAATAAATTGCCTATCCATTAGTGTCAATCACAAAATGTAACAATGCTTACTTTATGAGATGCAAGTTATCAATAATTATTTCGCATTTCTGTGGTTTAGTTGTACGAAGATTCATCAAGTATTTACTCCTTTAAAAATCAGAATTGGCTATTATGGAATCAAGATTATGTAGAAATTTAATAGATTTTTTATTAGATGATATATCTTTTTAATAACAAGTAGATAGCTCCTAAAAACCTCACAAATAACGACTAGTGCGGCATTTTGCTCAAACACCTCAAAACAGAAAACCGACCATAATTTGATAAACTATTAAAAATAGCAAATTCAAATTATACGATATAATTATTCAGTGTTTAAAATAAAGTTTTAATATGTTGATAATAAAATAATTACACATCAATACTCAATAATATATTATGACACGTTTATATTAAATACAAATGTTATATGGGACTTATTTAAAATATTTGAAAATAATCACAATTTGAAAAAGCAACTTAATCTACAATTCAACGTTGGTTAACATGTTTTCATAGACACCAATGCGCTTTTTATACATCTATCAATAGTGGAACTTGTCTAAAAGACAGACTTTTAGTCTGACACACTTCGGAATATCAGTAAAATTAATCTTAAATAGCTAATGTTATATTTGAACCATTTGCTAACTCGGACATTCAGAAAATGTTGTTAATAAATCAAATACATTCGCAATTATTTACACATATAAAGTACATTCCCTATCATAAGACAATCACTATATTTGGTTCTATGTTGAGTAGTTGATATATTTTAGTTTAATTAATTACAAAAGACCTACAGTTTAAAGTTTAAACATAGATTAAAAATTACAAACCGCACCAATAAAGCATAGTATCGCAAATGGATTCAGATACCTTTCCATTTCGTTCCCACAGTAGTCACATTTCTTTTTAAAGTTACCCCCACCTATTTAGTATTGTCTCCTGTAACGTGATGGCAGTTTACTGACATAAATTGCACAACGACAAACATCCGGACCAGGAACAATTATTTGCAAGTCATAAAAATAGTTATTCCACGCGGGTTTCGAACAGGCGGCCCTTAGAATGCAGATACGTTGTCACGCATGACGAGTAAGACAGAACGCCTAATTATAAGAATAAAAGATTCGGTTTTCTAAGCTCACAGTTAATATATGAAACACAGCAGCACTGTATTGCTTTTTTAAGCTGGTAGGTATTGGTACAGGTTAAATAAATACATTACGACTTAGTAACCTTCAAGAGAAGACCCTCCTCCTTTTTTAAAAGGCCGGCAACGCACCTGCAATTCCTCTGGTGTTGCAGTTGTTTGTGGGCGGCGGTAGTCACTTAACATCAGCCCCCTCTTCTATAAAAAATACATTTACGCTGTCGATGCCATATGCTAGCTAAAGGAATATTATTACCATAATTCTGGATTATATTCTTTACGGGCCGGCTTATTCAAAGATCAAACCTCAAATATACAGATAGCAGCTGGAGTCGTAACAAGGAGGCGCAAGTAGAGTCTCTGCAAGCGAACACGTGAATCAGGGCCTGACTGCGGTGAGGAGGATTGTGAAGTGCCGATATACGCAGCGCGAGTAGGTATTTTCAAGAATGCTATCTGTTTCATATCGCTCGCTGTGTATAGCCGTATCGTGCGATAGAGTTGCAAGTCTTGGAATATTGTTGCGGGCGATAACGTTTTCACCCCCCTGAACCTTCACGATATGAGGCAATTTTGGTTTTATTAGATTCAGTAGGTACACCCTAATCTAGGTCAGTCCGTTTTTCTTTTGTAGCAAGTCAGTTAAGCATAATTGAAACATAAACGTTCGAGGAAGTTTTTAAGTAAAAAATATAGATATTTAGCTAATAACTTATATCGTACTCTATTATTTCTTTAAAATAAAAACGTATGGACCTAGTTTTTCATTATATCAAAAATTATGAAACTTAGACTATGTTTACGGGGGGGGGGGGGGGAACGTTACTACCTTTTGTATGAAAATTTACAGCTTCACAATCTTCTTGAGGTATGAGGTTTACGCTACAGGTGTAAAATATTGACATCGCAAATTTTAAACATAAACCGAAGGCGGTTAAAATTCACTGATACGATAAAATAACCTTCAAATAACAGAAATTATTTCTATAACGAAAGGAAACAATCGTAATAAATCTCCTGTATTTCGTATGGTGAGGTAGAAACCCGACCATTTTACTGAATATCGAAAGGGGTGGATGACTAAGCGAAGTTGCAAGCCTCTCGCCGTACAATAACAATAAATTATAAGAATCTAATTGAAGACTAAGGTAATTTCGAAGCGCATGAAAGAGAAAATCTATAAGTTGATTGTTGGGTAGCGATAAAAACTAACGCTATCGTTATTTTTCGGTACCCAAAACTTTGTGGATCGTTATTTAAAAAGATATGACGTCATACTTTTAACCGTTATAACCTATAATGTCTCCTAATGCAAGCTCTGATTGAATATCCAATAGACGACGAAGGTTTACTGAACGACTAATCACATGCAAGAATGTTCGTTGTAGCCTTCACGCGCCCAAAAAGCAACCAAAGAGACTTATAATTCAATTAGTGCGTAAGTCAAGGATGAAGTCATATTTTGGGCTCCTATCTACAAAATAT